CAATTTTCTGAGCCAGAAACCCAGCAGTCCTATTGGCCTCCCTCTCTCTGAACACTCTACTTCACCACGTGCAGTGTCTTGAATCTGCCTTCTCCTCCCACCACTGCCACTATTCTAGTTCAGTCCCTGGCCTTTGACCACTGGACCTGGCATCCTAACTGTTCCCCCAGGCCCTGGTCTTCACTCCTTAAAACCATCACGTGCTCTGTTCAAGAAGGTGAACCTCTGGAGATTTCAGCTGGGAGTTCCCAGAGGTTTCCTGTCATGTACGCTATGCAGGGTAAGTCAATGTCTAGCATGACACCCAAGGCTTCTGTGACTGGTATTAACCAGTCTTTCAAGCCCATCCTTGCTACTACCTACGTTATGCTTTGGTGGTAACAAATGGTCACACACATACACACACACACACACACACACACTATGCCGTTCCATCCCTCCATGCCTTAGGACATGTGGTTCCCTCTGACGGAAATGTCTTCCCCTCCTTTCTCCTTGCTAACTCCCATTCCTGTCTTTACCCTTAGCTTCGGTGTCACCTTCTCCAAGAAGTTTTCTTTAAATCTAACATTGGGCTAAACCATCCAGTCATCCTCCTCTGTGCTCACCTTTTGATGCTGAAAATACCTGTGTGTCTGTCTCCTCATCCTGAAGGCCAGCTCGTCCAGGGACAAGACTGTGTCACACTGGTATGGCTGCACGTACTAGACCCTCAGCAGATGCCTGTGGAACCAAACTGAGCTCATCTTGTTCCCCGCCCCTCCCCTCCCCCTGTTCAGGATTACAGACCTAAGTTTTAGTCATCATAAAAGCTTACCTCAATGTTTGCTACAGAAGGATGCTCCAAATAGGTGTAACTACCTGACAGGTAAGAGGTGACAGAATTAAAACTAAAGGTTAGATGACTGACATTTTCATTAAAGACCTGTCGATGAGAAAGACCTCAAATCTCAATGAACTGTTCTTTATCTTGATGCTTAGTAACATCTGATCAGTAATAAAATACACAATAAGATTTAGTTGTGAGACATTACTCCATTCTGGTATCCAAGAACCCACAAATATCTTATAGAACTTATAAAATTTAAATATAGAAATCAATTTGTGAGACTACATATTGATAACCAGAGAATATGAAAGTGTCTATAAAATCTAGAAACAGATAAGATTATTTCATTTTTCATTACAGATTGAAGATGTCCTTGATGAGATTGTGTGTATTCACCTGTTTGCAGACTTTAAGATGCACTCCGTTTGCTTGAGGAGAGCATGTCAAAGCTGCTTATAGTATGTATCAACACCACTGACAGTAACCGAGTCTTTGATCCGTTTTATAAAATTGAATTCGTAGCACTACAAAATCATTAAAATATAGTTTCGACAAATGCCATGTCAAAAAATGTAGACCTTTGATTTTATTGTAGAAGTCAAGCTCCCGAAATGAGGGAAGTCAACGCTCCGTGCATCTCAGCAGCCTTTCTGGCTTCCGCTGCGTGTGTATTACACAGGGTTTGGAGGTAGCCCTCCAAAATATTAGCTGAAAGCTCCCTCGGAAAGCAGATCTTTCCCACATCCTTCCCTGCAGTTCCTCTTTAAGATGTGTCAGCGCGGCTGAAAGAATGAAGCGGCTGCACATTGTCTGGCAGTGCTATTATGTGCTTAACATTTCCATAACAAAAGTGCCACTCGACTTCTCCCCGATTAATGCAGCTTGAGGGCTCTTGTCGTCCTTTAATAAAACATTGTTGAAATCATTTATTTAGAGCCCCTGGTTACTAGTGGGAGAATGACCATCTTTGTGCCAAAATATAGTGTATACAGTCCACTATTTTGTAGTAGATCATTCTGTTATTTAAGAAATTGATTAAATGGATGCCTTAGAAGGTATTTATGCTAATAACACATTACTTATGTCATTCAGATAGTCAAGGGTGAACTTTTTCAACTGTCCGGCAGAGGCAATCCCTCAAATAGAATACAGTAACATCCAGCTTCGCTTAACTCGCAAGGCTGTCAGACTCACTGGAAAGCCAACCCTCCCAGAACAACTCTTGGGCCACAGGCATTTGGAACATGATGCTTCTCAACAAACTTGTTTTGGGTAGCTGGGAGAAACCGGGTCAACTGACAACGTTTCTGATGCTCTTTGGTGTAAGAGGTCAAAAAGCAAATAATGTATGCTTTTCTTTTTATAGGTTCAAAAAGGGATACATGAGGTTATGTTTGAGGACTTCCACTGTTGAACCCAGTAAGCTAACAATGCAAAGCCAGAGTTTAAAGCAGAAAGGTTTTCAATGCAGCGTTTGATGCCTCTGAAAGTCCTCATGGCATTTTCCCCCTCTTTTTAGTCTATAGTACACAGCATTGCTGGGATGGAGTTGGGGCGCGAACACAGGGACTGTTGAGGAAGGGAACCCACTCCAGGAGGTTTCTCTTGACTCTAAAAGGGAGAGACTACTAGTTCTGAGTGGTTTCTACACTTAACGCGGACCACATTGGGAGAGCCGGAGTGCACCCTGGGTGTGTCAGAGCATGGTGGCCCCTTAAGTTTACGGCAGTTGGCACTAGGAGCCGCTTTCTTACTTGTAGGGGTCCTGCCCATGCGCAGGGATGTCCTGCTACTTAGTACAAGAATGAGTTCCCTCCAGCCATTTTTCCACCTCACGTACGTGTATTGCTTGCGTACATTGCCATATATTGTTGAAGATAAACAGAGACCTTATGTTATGTCCATTGTGGTCATGTACAAAAGCGTTGCTGTGTGCTTGGGTGAGCAGTGAAGCCTGAACCTCCTTCTATTTACTGTATGGTCACTGTCAGTTCAATGAACTGCCTCCTTGTTCTCCACCATTGTCCCACACTCCCTTAAACATTTGTCATTGAAGTGCCTCCAAAGACAAGTAAACTGTCACTGAGAATACAAACCTGCTAACTGGGGAAATGGGAACGGCCACGAGGACACAGGATTTTACGTGAAATCCAAAAGGAGTAGCTCTCACCTTGGAAGACTTCTGTCAGAAGTGTGGCACTTCTTGAGAATGCCCAGGAAAAGCCAGAGATACCTTTTCATTCAGTAATGGTACTTCCAGGCATTCTCCACGAGACATTTGAGATGGCCAAATGTCCAAAATTCCACAGGCTCCCCAGAGAGCATGAGATATTACAGATGTTAACATCTGTGAAAATCCTTTCTGCCTAGGAGCAGATGGCAACACACAATCCCATAGCTGACAGCCGAAGGTCCTAGATCTCAGTAACCTGTTTTGGAATCCACTAGGTCTGTAGAAGGATGAGGGGACTCCTGGGCTCCAGGGTAGAACTGTTTAAATTAAAATGGACCACCGATCAATGTTCACTTTCTTCCAGGAAGAAAGCCTAAAGCCTTGTGTCCTCTTTCCCCAAGAGTGAGCTGTGTTGATTTATTCCAGGCAGATGCTTTTGACAAGACCCTGTAAAATCAAGTCGTGAGTTTATTGTAGCAGTTAATTATCAGGCCTTTTCTAGTGCTAATGCCTTTTACTTCTTACTGGGGAAAACTGGGCCTTTTACTGGGACAAAGACTTAACTTTTAGTCAAGAGTGTGTTAAAATAACATGAGATGGAGATGATTTAAATATATTTAAGGACAAACGCAGGACCATTGCTAACTCGTGGTTTTGTAAAGAAAGCTGATTTCATTTACAAGTCTCTTGGAAAACTCTTTGTTCTCTTCCCAAAGAAACAACGCTTTCAGCTTTGTTTTAACAATATGTTTACTCAGCCATTCAGGTGACCGGGGATTCCAGCCACACACCACTCTCCTAGGCTCATCTGACACTACCACCATCTCAGACTTGCTGATGCTATGTATATACCAATCTTGGTTTTGGATCCAAGTGCCTTGAATCCCTCCATAAAAGCTGAGAAAAGAGTGAGCTAGAGGCAAAAGAAACCTCCAAAGTAGGGGGTGGGAGTGGGTGGGAGGAAGTTGGAAGGGGGCATAGCTTTGTTAATTACTTCAGGCAGCCGAGAAATCTGGTTATGTTTTCTCAGCACATGTTAATATCATATAAAGAGACAGGAGATCTTGCTAATCTGTCGACCCCTCAGACAAAGTTTATTTGTGGTGACTTTTAAACTCCTGACTTGCCTTCCAATCACCGCGTTTAAAATGAAAAGCTTTAAATAAACACCAGGAATAGAAGATAAATAAACTTTTTTTCCCCCTTGCAAGTGCCTAACTTGGCGAGGTTCAGACTCAAATCCCCAGAGGACAGAGCGCTCTCTTTTGTGTTAATGTTTAAAAGATTTTCCAATGCCGGAGTTTATTCCTACTGCAAACATTTCTATTTACAAGGTCAAGTGTATCCGCACTCGACACAGCTTAAGAGTGTAATTATTTATCTAAGGGCGTTTGAGTGCAGATCAGTAGCTCTGGCAGGAACCCAGCCTTCAGCCCACTGCTAAACAACTCCTCACAACAATATTACAAGTTCTGGTAATTGTTCCTCTCCCCAGTGTGTTTACTTTTGCCCGCCTGAATGTTTTGTAACAAAATTTTGTACTTTTTCACCCAAAGTGTGAAAATGACTTTGAAGTACTGAGTCGTGCAGGTTTCCTAAGACCTATTGGTAACAGATGTTACTGGCATGGTTGATTGCACGAGACTGTCTAGTAGCCAGAGAGGACACTCCTGGGGATGGGGGAGGGGGGTCCAGCAGAAAGGAAGGTAGGGAAAGAGATGTCTGGATTATCCCCAAATCATGTAGAGACACTATTTTGTGTGTTCTCTGCACAAATGTAAAAACCAATGAAGGCCAATTATATCTTTTTAGCTGCCTCATTTACAGATGTCTAATTGATCATTAAATTAAAGGCAGAAATAATACCCCTCATTTCTTGTCTTGTACTGTATTTTAATTTCAGTTGATGGTTGATAGATTCCCAGTGGCCCCTCCACCCCCCTCCTTACCCATTACTAGGTTAACCACAATGTAACTTGGGAAAGTAACTACACCATATTCATTATTTAAAACTCTTTACTGATGTACACATTTTAATAAAACAAATAACAAAAAAAATACACGAAGCCATAGTTATTTAAAACATAAGACTTTTTTTTTAAATGATGTCTATAAAAATACAATGTTTAAGGCAGTTTGGAAATGCATTTATACATTTCTACAATGTCCATAAATTCTCTTGAAAATAAGAATGTTAACTTCAAATTTATAAAATACACTGTACATTTTAAGACTGGTCTAGACAGAGCACACTTCACAGTGGACTGTGGGGTTGGATCCCTGGTGACAGATGGATTCCACACATTTCAGGGAGGAAAGGTGTAACATGGATGCAGACTTAAAATTTTTAATTTCTTTTTAAAAATAAATTATTTCTGAAGCATACAATTTATAAAAATTCTATATACAAAGTACAGCAACTGGTAACAAACCCCAGTTTTAATACACTTTATATAAGAAGTACCAGGGCTTAGCACCCTGATAAAAGCAGAATATATGTTCTCCACATACTTGTACATACAATTTCTTGATGTAAAGAACAAAAATGACAACAAAACAAACATCATACAGAGGCTTTCATAGACGGCAGTGCAGAGCTCTTTTAAATAAAAAGTTGCATTGTTCAACGTCACTGGCAACTCTTTAGATCAGCATTTTTTGGCCCTTAATCCTAAATGTGTTAAGAGATCAGAGTGGTGGCAATGAAATTAAGGTCAAGGGCCCAAAGTCATCCAAAACTAATTCAGGAATATTAATACTCTCCCATCCCTCCCCGCAAACTGAGAATTCTGGGCGCTGATACCAAGAGTGAACGAGTAAATCAGTAATTGGGACTTTTCCGTTTACTTACGATTGCAATGTCCTCACTGGCCACAATAAAAGTCGATACAGGCACTTTTCTCCCCCCTCAGGAAAAATGCTAACAACCGGCCTATTTGCAAATATAAACCCTCCTTCAACCCTCTGCTCCGAGCCCAGTCCTTTGAAACTGTTAAGGCCCACTGGTCAGCATCTGTTCTTTGGGGTCCAGGACCACGGTGCTGTTCCCCTGCGCCGTTTCATCCTGGCGTCCTGAACTCTAGCTAGGCCGGTTTCTGCACGGCAGAAACTCCCCAGTTGGGAGTTTCTGGAGACTGGGATGGGGGCACGGGAGAATGTCCAAAAAGTCGTGGTCGGGAAGAGGGAAGTGCCAAGAGTCGTGGCGGGGAGACCGGCTAGGCAGAGTCCACTTAGAAAGCGTTTTGGAAAGCATCCCCAACCATGCCCTCTGTCCCCAAGCCACAGGTGCCCTGGCGCGGGCCCTCCCGCAGCCAACGGCGGGGGCGTGAGGGCTAAAAGAGCAGCGGGAGCAGCAGCAGCAAGATGGAGGCGAGCGGGGTCCAGGCGCCTCGGGGCGCCGAGCGGCCGCCGCCGCTGCTCCCGCTCCCGCGCCCCGGCCCGT